ACACACACACACACACACACACACACACGGAAACAGCTGCCTCCCTCTTGCCCAAAGGCCTTTCACCTCCCTTGCTAACGCTCACCTTTCTCCAGGTAAAGGCGGCCTGCTATGCTGAGGGCCGTCTCGTGGAGGCGCCGAGAGACGCGACGCAGCGCTTGGTGGAGGCACGGCACGGAGTCCATGTGGAGGACCTCGAGGAGGCGCTTCTGGGTCTGGTTGGCTGCTCCTGGAACGAACCAGGCTCAGTTCGGACCAGGGAGGCAGCAGCTTATGGCTTGAAGGAAGCTACGGGGCGATGGGGGGGACGTCCCCCACTCCAGGTCCACCTTTGTCCCCCAGAGGCCAACAGGCATCATCCCCAGAGGAGCAGCCTGTCTCCCCAGCAGGAGATGGAGGGGCAGTAAGCAGCCCAAAGTGGGCCACCGACGAACTGGGTGCTCTGGGAAATGGGGCTGCAGGGCTCGTCTCTCCCCCCGCCCCCCTCCATTCTTGGGAGTCTGCCCGTGGCGTCTCTGTTGGGTTGAGGACATTCCCTCTGCTCCTTTCGGTTCGCCAGTGCCATCTCTGCCTTAGGGGCAATCAGAACTTAACCGAGAAAGCGGGACAGCTGGTATTAGTGGGAGGCGGCCTGTTGAGTATGCTCAGTATGATGCCTTTCCCTGAGGCATGCTCCCCTCAGAAGCACAGATGGGAGGTCAACCTTCCCCACCCCCAAAGCAAAACCCGAGAAGTGCCTTCTCGCATGTGGGTGCGTGGGGATGCTGACCTAGAGCTAGGTGGGCGAGGGACAGGCTGAGGCTGAGGGGCGAGAAGAGAGTGTTGTCCTTGCTCTGCTCGGCCTCCAGCTCTCGCAGCAGGTCCACCCCCAGCGCCCTCATGGCCCAGGCGATCTTGTGCACGCTCGGGGAAAGGGCGCTGTCCTCGCAGCCTTGCTCCTCCTCCTCCTCCTCCTGTCTCGAGAGAGTTTGGGTGTCCTCCCAGCCCTTTGGACCCATCTGAAACCAGGTGCCCCGGGCTGCCAGCTTCATCTGGAATAGGGGGAGGCAACTTTGTGGGGCCCAGAACAGCCAGCCGGGACTCGGATTCAGGTCCTGCCTCAGGCAGAAAGTCAGCCGGTGGTAGAGCCTCTTTCTGGAGTACCTCCTCGGAGTAGGCCTGTGGGGGGGGGGGGGGGAGGGGAGAGAGAGAGAGGCTGAATGGCGGACCTGGTCCCGGGTTCAAAGCACCTCCTGCGGCGGGTTGGCAAGCTCTCTGCTGCTCCATGCCCTGGAGACCCACAGCCACCAGTCCTATTCTCCACGTGGACCCTGAAGGTTAGTGCATTGGGCTTCCTAGGCAATGGTTAACTTACTTAAAAAGGACTGGTTTCATTCATTTTAAAAACATCTAAACCGTTCTCCATCTAAACAGATCCCTGCATTACTTCAATGCACCCGCACAAAGGCTGGTGCAGGCGGTAAACAGTTACACCAAAATCTTTCTCCGCAAGTGATGAAGATAATTTAAATGGGATGGGATAGCATGCAGTTGTGATTTCCAACTAAGCAGGTCAGATGAAGTCCACGGGATCTCCAGAACAGTGTTTGAAGCATCGTCATTGGGGGGTGGTCACCACAGCAGGCCCTAACCCAGCAGGTTCTATCAGTTGAAGCAACCTTGAAGCCTCCGGGTTCTAGTCTCTGAGTTAAGGTCACCCAGAACCCAGAAGGTGACGATGACATCATTTTTCCAATTCTGATTTATTTGGGGACCCATCTGAAGCAGCCCTCCGGATAGAGGCTGTAACGGATCCTGCACCGAGGAGGGGATCAGGCCGGATTCCAATCCCACGACTGCATGTCTTCAACCTGGTCTGCTTTCAGGTGGGTTCCAAAATTCTCTGCCCCATTGCCCTGGATGCCGGAAGCTGCCATTCTGGGGACCCCATGCCCAGTCGAAGGCCTTCCACTGCCTCTTCTTTGCCTACAGACTGACCCTACTTGCCCACGCACCCCAAATTTGTCTCCTTTCAGGCCAAACGTGCCAGGTCCCCTTCCCGGCCAGGATTTCTGGCATGAGTGTGAAAGCATCCACGGTCCTCCTCTCCCAATCACTCGCACTGTTTTGGCATGTGTACAAGTTCCCAGGGGCTGCTCTCCTGCCGCTTGGTCAGTTGGACGGATTTTCACCTTTACTCCCAGCGATGACTCATCCTTCCTGTGCCACATGTTCTTTGTCTCCTTCCAGGCTCTGAGGTTAACTAAGAGCCATCCAGCCCCTGCTTTGTTCGGGCGAAGCCTGTCTTTGCCAAGCGGGCCTCCCCACTCTGGGTGCCCCCTGTGAGACCCTCACCCACAAAGCTCCCTGACTTCCTGGCCCTCAGTTGCTGAACTGACAAGGTCTCTCCGCCTCTTTGACACTGACCTTAGTGTGTCCTGGAGACGTGGGTTGGGGAAGCAGAATTTGAACCTGCTTCCTCAGATGCACCCCCGTCCCGATCGTGACTGCACCCCCCAGAGCAAGCAGAGGCTCTTCTTACCAGCAGAACGTTCCTCTGAGCAGCTTCATCCCAGTCCAAGGCGTGAGCAAACGGGGCCTGGAAGAGAACTCCTGCTGGTGAGCCCCCTACAATTGCACCCCCAGCGGACAGAGGCTTCTTGTCCCCTGCTTTGGCTCTCCGTCTGCAGTGGGTGGTATCCAGAAAACCGAATACGGGAGTGGCAAAGCCAGCCTTCATGGGAGACCCACTCTCAGGGGACAAGGCAGAACAGCATAAGAGAAGCTGCCGATGTAACACTGCTGCCCGCGTGCCGTGGGACTCTCAGGCACCAGCTCGACCGCGGCAGCCTTTGGGACGGAAACCACAGGGTTCCCCCGGTGTGGCGGTAGGCTTGAGCCGGTACCTGCTGCATAAATGCATTCAGGACTTGATTCCAGACCTCCACAGTGGGTGTTCACGCACTTCGTGGAAGAACCCTCAGGCTGCCACTCACCTGGGACTGCCCAGCACACAGAGCAGGCGAGCAGGCCACCAGCAGCACCCACAGCAGCAGAGCCATCAGGAAGTGGAGGGGGGCTGTGGGAGGGAAGACCGACTGCGCTGACCTTATGCGCTGCAGGGTCCCCGGCTCTTGCTCCAGGGACCCCCCTCCTGTTCTCCTTGCCTGTAAGACCCAGGGCACCAGCCCTGGCACCGAGAGGCACGGGCTGTGGCTGACCCAGTTTGGGAGCTGGACCTCTTTCTCTCTCCACCCGTTATCCCCCCCGACCTTTGGGGGGAAGCGGCCTGTTTCCTGGTAGAATCATTTCCCGTATGAACTTTCTGCGCAAGCAGCGGGGGGGCGGGGTACCAGCTGCCTCCGCCCCAGATCCACCACCAAAGCCCAGGAAATGGGCCAACTTCCACGCTGCCCAGGAAAGGGCAATGGCGTCCCCTTGCCCAAGGATCGCAGAATTCCTGCCCGCCACCCTCTGCCCGTCTTGTTGCTGCCCAGGCGCTCCCCCCACTCCACCTTGTCACTCGGGCGGCTTTTCCCTGCGCCTCTGCTGCTGTACCCCGCTAGCTCCGAGAGGGTGGCAGAAGAGCCCCCCAGCCTCGCCAGGAACCAGCAGCAGCGCCTGTGCTTGAGCGCTCTCTCCTCCTCCTCCTCCGCAGCAGGCAAATATTGACTTTTGGTATCCAGTTAAACATTTGTTCAGAAACTCCGGTCCAGGGAGCAATCCAGCAACCTGGCTCCCTCCCTCTCTGACGTGGGGAGCAGGCAAACAGTGGAAGCTGTCCGATGGGGGCGCTGGGGGGCAATGGCAGGGCAACGCTAGAGAAAGCCCCCGGATCAGGTGGGGAGCCCCTGCTTCTCCTGCAATTTTAGCCCAGCCTGGGCTCCGCTGAGGTGGTGGGGGGAAAAGAGAGCCCAATGGCCCCAAGCGGCCCCCCCCGTCCTTGCTCCAGCCAGGACCAGTGCGGCATGGGGGCCCCCACCCGAGCCTGCCTCTCCTCCGGAAAAGGCGAGCGTTGCACCTTCTCCCTCGGCCAGAGGGCTCCCGGCTGCCCTGTGGAAGCTCCTGCCCCCAGATCTCCTGCCTCTGGAGCAGAGGACCTCCCGCTCTGCCCGCTGGGCTCCGCCACCTCCGAAACAGGCAAGAACCACCTCGGCTGGGCTGTTTGGTCATCAGAACGCATGCCCCCCCCATCAACTCCTTTTGGTCACAGGTTGCCCTGGTGCCCGGAAGCATTTGAAATAAAAACAGAACGGCCACTCTGAAGGAAGAGCGAGGATCGACCGTAGAAGAGGACAGGCCTTGTGCTGGGAGCTATCCAGAAGGGCGGACCGGGCGGGCGCCTTTTAGGGGTAAAAATCCTCTTAAAAGTCAACCTAGTCAACTATCAGAGGGAGGGGGACGAGCAGAAGCCGCTCACCGCTCCAGCACAAACCGTGTGCGGCTGTCACAATCTGCCCGTGTTAGACCGGACACTGCGTCCAGCGAACGGCTCCTGGAAGCCAGAGGCGCAACTGGGGATCGTGGGCGCTCGGCGCAATGAGCCCGCTTCAATGTATGAACTCATCCAAGGGCTCCACAGAGGATGTGCCTGGCCCGAGCAGCCCCTCCCGCAAAGGAGCATCGGGTCCCCCCTTGCAGATCGATGAATGACATCCCAGAGTTCCCTTTTCCCTAATTTATGACCACAATTATAGACTCTATCAAATCTTTTAAAGCAGCGCAAAATATTCGCACCTCTCCCTTCCGCTAAACTGCAGCAAAGGGGGGTGAGCCATTCGGGGCCATTAATGCCTCCTGCTACCTGCTGGCCGAGAGCTCCCTTGCCTAGAGGGTGAACGGACAGCCCGGCTGACGACCTCCAGCTAGCTACAGGGCTGCTGGGTGGGACCGAAGGTCCTCTGTGGCACAGAGGGGCTGGGAAGGGGCTTCAGGGATAGCAGGCTGGGATAAGGGTCGGTCCTAGACAAACTCATACAGGAAATCACCATCTTACTCTCAGCGGTGCTTGCAAATCGTCTCTGCTCAGGAATCAAGGTGGGACTGCCCGACCTCTCCCCCTCCGAAGACGGAGAGGTCTGCCTGGTGCTCTGCGAGGTCTCCAGGAGCTCTCAAAAGCAGCACAGGAAGGGTCATTTGGCGAGACTGTCGGCATCCTTGGATCCAGTTCCCCAGTCAAGCGGGAGAAAGCCGCCCCAAGACAGGGGTTCCTTCCTGACCGGGGGTTCGCCATTTCCGGCTTGCCGTTTCGGGGGGATGATGACTTTTGGGTTGGAAAAGATGGAGGCAGGGAGGCAATGGCTGTGCCATTCCTCTGTTACCCGCTTGCCTTCTCAACCGGGAAGCTGCTCCCCCACCCCTCAGCAAACAAAGTCATTGACAGTTGCAGGGGGTTACTCAGGACGTTTATATTTATCTATTGCAATCCATTCAATCAGCCGTGAGAATCTGCTCCCACCCCAGGAACGGATGCAAAATGCTTGCAGGGCTGGGCTGGCCCTTCTCCAGGGAGACCCCTCTCCACGTAGGAGAGCAAGGACTAAATGGACCCCCCAACCCCAGAGCCTTTCTATCACACCTTCGAGGTGGAACTGACACCCCTCAGACCCAAGATTCAGATACTGTCCAGCCGAGGTTTCTGGCCCCCAGCTGGAGAATGTCTGGGGAGGAACATCAGGGAGCCTCTTCAGCAGAGAGAGGGCTTCGGGTCCGCTTCCAACTCTAGGCCAACAGTGGGAAGAGTGGGGCAGGGGGCCATAGCTCCTTCCTGCCCAGAAGCCCCTTCCCCAAGAGATGAGATCAGGGGAGAGAAAGCAGTTGGAGGTGCCCGGAGGGAACAGCACAGCACGACACTCCTGGGCCACCACCCAAAAGCTGTGGATCTGCTGCTATTCCTCCTCCCCTCCCTCCTGCCAGCCCCCACAGGTTAGAGCAGGAATGCCACATGAGTGGGGAGAAGGGGACAGCCCCCCAAGCACCCCAGGGGAATCTCTGCCGGTCCCCACGGAGCATCAGGCACATACGGTGATGGCTTTCCTTGGGCTGCCCAGCAGCCGGACTGGGGAAGGAGGCGTCCCCAAGGCTTCTGGTCCCACATGGCTGTTGGCCAGCCACCAGCTGTCCCCCTCCGCATCCGGAAGCAGGGCTATGCCAGCAGCCGGACAGTGCCGTTGTCCGACCCCAGCAGAAGGTGGCATTTGGTGGGAAGGACAGCCAAGCTTGTGAGGGTCCCTCGGAAGTTCTCTGAGCTCAGCTTGGTGACACCAGGGGCCGAGAGCTCCTGTAATGCATAGACGCCAATTCTGTTGGCCACCGTGCCAGCCACCACCTCGCTGCCGTAGAGGTCAAAGGTGTGGACAGGCTCCGCGGCCGATTTGTACACCTGCAGCGGCTTCTGCTCCAGGTCTTTCCAGACAGTCAGTGAGTGGTCGGAGGAGGAGCTGACCAGCATGTTGCTCTCGGTGGCCTATGAGAGAGGGAAGCAGCGGATGACCCTGCAGCAACGCCTGACACAGGTGGGGGGAGGGCACGTGGGGTGGGCAGAAGCACTCCCCTTTCCCGCTAACATGCAGTGCCAAGGCACAATCCCCTGGGCCCAGGACTAGAGGGGGCTGCAGGCCCCTTCTGGCCCCTGCTATTCCACCCCCACGGAGGTCAGCAAACATCATCAGCTAACTCCGGAGGAGGTTCCAAACACCAGGCCATCTCTGCCCACTGATGCCAGGGCAAGGGTACAAGAGGACCAGCTTCAAAAGCCCCTGTGGGAATGGGCCCGGGGACCTCAAGGGCATGGTCTGTGTGGAAGGGCCTCCAAAGACCACGATCTGCTCGAGCCCCAAGTCGAGCTGAGGGGAGCCCAAAGACTCACTGCCAAGCAGCCTCCGCGCTCCCCATGCATGGTTGGGGTGCTGGACAACCTCCAGAATCAGGCACGTTGCCGGATCTTCTGGAAGTGGCAGCCTCCATCTCTTGGGAGGCAGCTCAGGGACCTGCTCCAGAACTGGGCCTGAGACACTTTGGGGCCGCCGGGGCCTTCATCCAAGCCACGTGGCTCCCGTCCAAGCTGTGGAACCAAGCGAGTCCAACGCACCGGGCCGAGCGGCTCACCTTGACCTGCAAGATGTCTCCCTCGTGTGCTGACCAAGCTCTCAGGATCAGGCCTGTTCTGGTGTCCAGAAGGACCATGAAGCCAGAGGAGAAGCCGGCCGCCACACTACGCCCGCTAGGACTGACAGCCAGGCAGCGGATGAGCCCCGCATTTGGCCCGCTGGCCAGCCGGAATTCCTGCTACAGAGCCGGAAAGAGCGGAGGGGCCCGTCAGCCCTCCTCCCTCGCAGGAGAAGCTGAGGTCCGAGCGGGCCCCCAACATCTCCCCTCCGTTCCCAGCCCGGGAAAAGGAGACTGCCCACTCCCTCCCTGGCCCCCCAGCCCCTCCTAGGCTCCACCAACGGCCACCACGAGCTACCTGCCAGCCTGGCTTCCGGTGGTCGATGAAGCGAAGCACCGAGTCTGCGCTGGCGATGCTGATGCTGCTGTAGGGAGGTGGCATGGTACTGAGGGCTGTGATGGGCGCCTTGGAGTCCAATGCTTCGAAAGTGCGAATCACTCTGCCTGCGGAAGAGGTCCGGCTGAGCTGTGCCCGAGAGGGAAGGCACAGCACAGGCCTTAGGAGCAAGGGGCCACACGACGGGCAAGCCGCCTGCTCAGCAGGGCCAGAGGAGGCACGTGAAGGGACCAGGCAGGCACTCCCCAATTCCCTAACCTGAACCAAAGAGGTGCTGTGGGGCACAGGACTGCACAAGTGCAGAGTTCCCAAGCTCGCCCAAATTTCCTTTCACTTAGTGAAAGAAAAAAAGGGGGGGATTTGAGGTCTTTCTGCATTTTAAAGTGCATTCTGGCATCCTGCAGATGCACCCCGACAGTCGCCTAGCATTAACGATGCCACCCTGAGGTGCATTTATTCTGTCCACAGAAGCGGGAGGACAGCCTCACACCCGCCAAACATGTTGGCAGGGGACTCTTTTCAAGAGGGCTGCCCGGTCAAGGTCCTTAGAGGGAGGAGGGACGCCCCTGCCCGGTACTCCTTTCCCCCAGCTCGTGTGAACAGGGGCATCTCTCCATTCCGGAAGGAATCAATCCAACAGGTGCCTGAGTTTTGTAGGCAGGGGAGGCAGCCCGTAGCTTTGAGCCTGAGGGCTAGGGAGAACCTCTGCCAGGCACTGCCCGCAACGGCTGACCCCAGCCTGGCCTTGCCCGCAGGTCAGTCTGGACCTGGGTCTAAGAGGGCCACAGCGAAAGGCTGGTGGGTGAGCATTCCCAGCTCGCTGGCCCAGACACGTCAGAGTCCGCCCGCAGGTTTGCTCACTGTGAGCGAGGCTGTCATCAGCTACGGAGAGGGTCCACGCCTCCCTTCAGCAGCCATACCGGTGGGGGCGTCCCAGATGTGGACGGTGCCATCACAGCTGACCACGTGCTGAGGGGCCTCTAGCACGCCAACGTAGAAGACAGACTTCTTGTGCCGGTCATAGGTCAGCCGGGCCTCGGTCTCGTGGGTGCCGTCCCCCCGGTTGTAGAGGGGCCAGAGGCGCACGGTCTTGTCCTTGCTGCCGCTCAGGAAAAAGTCCTCTCCGCTCAGAGGGGCCACGCACTTGATGGCGCCTCCGTGGCCCGCAAAGCTCTGCAGCTTGATCTGGTGGAAATGGAAGTGGGCATCGTGCTGGCTCACCCCGATCTCGTACTGCCAGTAAGCCAGCCAGTTGCCACAGAGGAGGTGGGTGCTGCGGCGCAGCTCCTGCTTCAGCGTCTCCTCCTCCCGGCCCCCACCCTTGGGGCAGAGCCCATTGCCGGGCCTACTGGAGAACTCCCGCTGGGCTTCGGAGGGGACCTGGATGCGGTTGCCGACCAGCACGCTCCCAAACGTGCCAGAGCGCGTGTCCTCAGGCAGGCTGAAGGAGGGCTCCGTGCCCACAGTCCCCTGCTCTGCGAAGGCCCGGCCTGCCCCAGGGGCTGCCTGCCTTTCAGACAAGGTGCTTCTGGGACTCGCGTGGTCCAGGTAGAGGCTGGCCAGTTGCCCGATTAAGGCGTGGTTTGGGATAATTGTGTGAATGGCGTCACCTGCCAGAAGGGGAGAAATCGATTTAGAAAGACGCTGGCCGGAGAGTCCTGCCCCCAGCGCAAAGGAGCCCAAGAGTCCCAACGTGCGTGTGGGGGTTAATTACGGCGAAAGGCGACCTCTTGGGGACAGGGAGGGCCATGACAAGATTCCTGCAACCGGACACTAGAGAGAAGAGGAGCAGGGACAGGTGGGGGCAAGGCCTCTCACCTAACACGCAAGAGAAGGGCACAAAGGCAACGTAGGCCATCTCTGGGCTGAAGACTTTCTGGAGCTCCAGAAGAGCAGGGGAGTCTGGAGACACCAGCCGGGCCTGCAAGAAAGGCAGCGCCTTTGTCACGCCCAAAGGGGAAGGAGGTGGCCTGGCCAGTCCCCCGTCACCACCTCTGAAGCCAGGCCATCGTGGGAAGACTTTCCTGGTACGGGAAGCGTTCGAGAGCGTTTGGCTCATTTCGGGAGCAGCAAGCATCCAGATCCTCCAGGCACCACCTAGACCTGGGCAGCCGGCCCTCGGTGTCCCCCAGGAGCCGTTTTGGCCGACGCCCAGCTGGATTCCGGAGGCATACCACAGGGGAACTGGGGTGGGCACAGACCGTCTCCGTTCCTCCCCCGGCCGTGGCTTCCCCCACCGAGGGCCCCCGGCTCCCCACAGGCACAGACTCACCGGCTCCAACGGCAGCAAGGAAAAGGTTTCAAAGAACCTCTGGAGCGTGTCGCGCAGGTGCTGCTGCGCCATCTCGGGTCCGATCCGTAAACAAACCAGCACCGTGAGGCTGATGGTTTTGAGGCACAAGACGATCCGGCCCTGGACCCCGCTGGGGAAACTGGAGGGGAGGGAGGCTCAGCACCTGCTGCCCGCACGCCCCCAGCCCCAGCCCTCAGCTCCCTCCCACCCAGGCATCACAAGGATGCCAGCTCAAGCCTCACCTTCCCATCCTCGCTGCAGCAGCTGCTCCGCGGGGACTCCCTTGCATTGCGGGGAGTGCTGAAGGGAGAGCCCAGAGGCGCTCTCGCCGTGGCCACCCTCCCTCCCCAGACACACCTGACGGTGGGTGACGTGAGAAAGCCAAGGAGGGGAAGCAAGACCTCCTGGCTGATCCTGGGCAGGAGGTCCATGAGGGTGCTGTCTGACAGGTAGACCACGATCTTCTGGGCAAGCGTCACGGCTGCCAAGAGCCCAGCTTCCTTGCGGCTGTTCAGCCGGCCAGCGGCCGCCCCACCGCCGGGAGCAACCTAGAGGGAAAGGCTAGCAATTGGCAGGCCCGTTGTGGCGCATCCGCAGGGCCCCAAACAGCTCGTGGGCCGAAGGTCTGAAGGCGACCCTCCCCTCTGACAGCGCGGACTGTGGCAGAAGCCCCACAACAGCTCTTGCAGTCGTGGCAGAGGACCCCTCCTCGGGGATGCCGAGAGTTTGGAGGGCCCACAGCCCAGCCCAAGGCCAGGAGGGGTTGAGCGCTCAAGGCCCATTTCCTCCAGGATAGATTCTCACTGAGTTCAGGGCAACCCCCAGAAGTCAGCCGGGGCAGGTCAAGGCGTGGGACTGGGCGACGCCCTTAGCAGATTGTGGAAATGACCAACTATCTCCGGACAGGCTGACAGTCAGGTCAGAGGGGGCTGGGTGGCAAGGCAATTAAATGGGCACAGAGCTGGCTTGAAAACTGCCGTTAAAAATAGCTCCCCAATGAACGAGAGAGAAATATTCAGCCAGGCGCAGGACTGGCTGCAGGCCTCTCTTTTGAACAGCTGTGTTCGTGACTTGGGTGACCACAGGGAAGCGTTACTGACCAAAGATGCAGATGACACAAAATTGGGACAGACAGCTAACGATGAACGTGGCATAAATTAAACAATATACTTTTTGGAAGAAATATCGGAACAAGTGGGAGTAGCGTGGCTGCATAACGCAACCACGTGCCCCCAACCAGTCACCCCTCATTTTGCCACATTCACACAGTTGGTCTGAAGGAGGAAATGCGATTCCGGAAACAGGAAGGGGGTCTCCTGGTGGAGGAGAAAACAGAGCCAACCACAGGGCCAGCGGGGCCCCAGAAAGTCATGCCTCTCACCGAGGGGAGGCTCCCGCCTCCACCTCTGCCGGCACCAAGCGCAATCCTCTGCGCGATGCCGGAAGAGCTAAAATAAAAATGGGGAACTGCACGCTGGAACTGAAAGTAGAGGCGGAGC